ATTCATTAATTTGTTTAAGTAGACCGAAATGTTTACAAAACCTCTAACAAGATCGAGCGCTTATCAAATCCTTCTTTATAGCAATTGGCAGGAGCTATCTCCATGATCTTCCACACACGTTTTTAAAAAGATTGAAACTACTATGAGGTGAAATTGCATGTTAAAAGGGTTTCGTTTTCTTCAGATTGCGACTAAACATCAAGATTTTCCTTTTTTACCTTATTTCTAACAATAAAAACTTCGTCCCAAAATATCTCGATAACGCTCTTACAGTTCCGTTTTAACTTCACGAACATCGAGGCGACTATTGGAGGAAAGAGCTCCCCTGAACGATTTTGTAAGAACAGTTCCCAGTGAGAAATATTGCTCCAAGTAGAATAAGGTAATGGCGTCATTTCGTTGCTATGACAGCTCCGATGTCATTGCAATCCTGATCATGACAAATTTCCCTCTTTATCTGATACAACTGTGGTGGCAATTTTTTCCAAATGCTTGTTTGTGGCGACGAAGTTTATGCTCAAACTTGGCAGGTATTGACTCTGAAAAACTGTATCGAGCCACTTTCATATGCCAGTACGGCCTATTTTGTTGCATGGCCCTAGTTTCCTTTCGACTGTTTTGTAAAACTTTGGGCAACTTGGAAGAATTTTTTGGGCAAAAGGATTACCGCCCCCCCTGGCAAAAAATTGCCCGTACGCCTATGACGGTGCTGGGAAGTTATAGAGACGCACACCGAGAATGCTTTGACGTCGGAAGAATTTGTCACGCTTGAGAGATCTGTTGTTGAGTCCGTCGTGAAAAGGGAGAGATTGAATGTAAAGGAAGTGGATTTATTCAAGGCTATTGATCGCTGGGCAACCAAAGAAGTTGAAAAGCAACGGCTTACCCCTGGAGGGAAGGTTAAAAGAAGGATTCTTGGAGAGAAAATTGTGAAAGCGATAAGGTTCCCAGTGATGTCGCAGAAGGAATTTGCTTCGGTTGTTGTGGATTGTGACATTCTGACTAAAAAGGAGATTGGTTTCATGATGAAACACTACGGTGGTGTCGGTTTAGAGGCTTCTTTACCATTCATGCATTCCCCCAGACAGTATGGAACTGGGCCTTTGCATCGCGTTTATAGATCTGCAATGCATAGCGCAACCTGCTGGCCGTGCAATGGTTTCCTGAAAGATGCCCTCGGCGTTAGTGTCAGTAAACCTGTCAAGCTACAAGGAGTGCAGCATTTTGGTAGTGAAGGTGGCGAATACACAGTTTCCTTAGAAGTAAAGGATACAATAAATAGTTTTTCTCTGGTAAAACAAACAGGCACGTATTTCCCCGAGGAAGATGAGACACACTTTTACGATGGATTTGATGTCATGTTTGACCACCCAGTTTGTCTTGAGAAGGGTAAAGTGTATGATATTGTATCTCTCATCAAGGGCCCACCATCTTTGTTTGTGACTAATGGGAAAGAATATGTCGAGGCTCTTGGAATCCAGTTTTCATTTAGCAATTCAGCTGCTTCTAGTAACGGAACTAAAGTAAAAAGTGGCCAGTTTCCTGCACTTATTTTCAGCACAATGTAGTACGGTTTTTAAAATCCCTTGATCGATGATATTGCATTTGTTGATCGTTTGAAGTGGTATACCGTTCGCGAATTTTTGATTTAAGGAGAAAACCTAATCAAGCAAACTAGAATTTTTTAGGAGTAAAGGACCTGTTGTTAGTCTTGTTAGGGTACATACTTGCAGAATTCTAGTGACATACTGGTCAGCCGGAGCCAGGAATGATTTAAAAAAAATATTTAAATACAGTTGAACCTCTCCACAAGGGTCACCTTGGGAACAGGTAAAAGTGACCGCTGTAGAGAGTTTTAAATAAGAGTCTCAGTGCATGGACTGTCCGCCAAAAAAGCGGCCGTTGTACAGAGGTAGCCGTTAGTGGAGGTTTAACTTTAGAGCCTGTTAAACCCGAGCATAATCGCATGTTAGTTCTCAGCTTTCAAGTAAGACTACGAACTCCCTATACACGGTATATTACCGTCGTAAAAGAAGTGAAGAATAAAATAAATCAAACATAAGAAAAATAGATGTTTTTGATGACTGATTTGTAAGACTTATTTGATATTTGAAATTCGCAAGAGAATCGGTGCAGAAATAAACTGGTCTAGCTGTGAAAACGCCGTTGCTTCACAAACGAGTTGCTCGCTCCAGGTTTATATGGGCTACTAGTGACACACGGGCGGATCTAGGGGGAGGGTGCAGGGGGTGCGCACCCCCCCCTGAAATGACCTGCGGCTTTCGAATTCTAATTAACACTGTGCAGTCTGCTTCACAGTTATACAAAATCTGCTTTATCATTTGATATGTATTCTCAGCAGTTCACATTATGTTATTGCCTAGTTGAAAGCCTTCTTCTTCGTATTCGCTATTAAAATTTGTTTACGTCACCAGTCAATTACGCCATTCCTTAGTAGTGCACCCCCTCCTACGAAAAATCCTGGATCCGCCTCTGTGACAATGACCAATTCTCTCTTCTTTTTCACAGTTAGTAGGGTGGCACCCTTACAAAGTAACCAGTGCAGTACCTCACTTTTCTCCTCAGTCTTTTGCCCTTGTTTCTCGCGTGCTATGTCGGGAAAAATGAAGAATCCTTGCAGTCTAGTTAGTCTAAATTGTCTGTGTTTAGTTTGAGGGGTGTGCGCCTGGACACTTTATAGGCGTGACTTTCTCCTTAAAACTAGTCTGGAATTATTCGATCTTGCCAAAAAAGAACCCTTAGGCCCGTTTCAAACGTCGTGCTACTACCGTGCTAAACGAAATTGATCGATTTGAATTCGACTTTAGCACGGCAAGCTTTGCCGTGCAACACGGCAGTAGCTCGACTTGGTTTCAATCGTCGCGCTACTGCCGTACCGAACTCAATTCATAAATCATGAATACATTAGAATATATTTAAAAATTTGCTAAATCGCTTCTTTATTTTTGTTCTTTGTTTTCGGCAACAGCCGTTCTATTCAACTGAATTAAATTCGACGTCTGAGACCAAGTCGTGCTATTGTCGTGCTGCACTCGAGCTACAGTAGCACGACGTTTGAAACAGGTCGAAAATATTTAAATTTCCATGACTCTCTTTTGATGAAGTTAACTGAAGATTTCGGAAATATTAATACTTATGTGCACGAAAAAAACTGTGAACGACACAAGTGGCAATGTAACAACCTTGTCATTTGGTGATAAAAATGGCATGTCAGTAAGCCCTTTGTTGGCTTCAGAGATGAGCAAAGGTTATGATGATCGTAAACGTGCAATTGTTACGAAAATTTCTAACGTTTATCTGTATAGTGACTGTTTGCTCGGAAGTGAACGTCGTCGAAGAATTCAGAAGATGGCAAAACAAGGAAGCACTCTTTGTGGGCATAACTTAGAAGGCACCGTTTAGCTGCGTTTGTTTATCCGCCGGTTTAACCCCTTTTAAGTTGTACCGAGTCTAAACATTCGTATTCAGTTACTTTGCTTGAACCTACTTGTTCTTTCCCTCACTTTCCACTGCGCGTCGCAAGTTATAAGCTTCTCGCATAGCCTGCTCGGCACTGCTCACAATATTGCATTAAAGTTGATAGCGATCATCGCCGGCCGCCTGAGGGAGGTAACAAAGCCCATTCTGTGGACCAAAAAGCGTACAATGCAGATGGCGATAATTATAACTTCTCCTGGTTAAAAAGGCGTCGTCTCGAAACTCGCCTCAGTCCCCTCGCGTAATATGGTCATTTGAGGTCGAGATTGTCCCTTTCAGTCTGAAAAGAGGACGGTGATCTAGCCAACCTTTTTATTAGCGTAATTTTGTCGTGTGCTACAAAAATATAAATGTTTTAACAAGAAAAAAAATTTGGATAGTCCTAAAAGGGAGGGAACTAGGGAAGCCGGCGAGATAAACAGAGGTAATTACCGGTAATATTAATATACAACAATGCTTAATATGTAAGGGCCTGTTTACATGGAGGTGGGGGACCTCATGTAAGTGAGGTAACCCGCTTAGGTGGAGTAACACGCCTGTCCATATAATCTCCCATTTTAATTTGATCACGTTTACATGATAGGTGGGGTGGCCCGCCACACTTTACCGCACCATCCTAGGGTCCCCGACCTCCATGTAAACAGGCCCTAAAAAGGGGTGGAAGCCAGTAATGCATGGTACAAGAGGCAGAACTTTTGAAACTCCTGTCTCCCGGCCTCCTCCAAAGGAGGACCTGAATGGGTTTTAACCGTTTAGTGTGTTTGGCCCATAATTTCTCAATTTATATGTAATGCCCAAAACAGCTAAGAACAGTTAAATAAGAAAAGAAAATTCCATTTGTTACAGAAATTTCACTAATGTTTTTTCTTCTGGTTTGCAGCCAAATCTGTGATTTTATGGATAAAGGGCAATAAACTTTGATTGTTACAGGACACAGAATCCGAAGGGGCCTATCTCCTCAGTAACCTGCTGTTCACCTGATGGTGGCTTTTGCGAAGTTGCTCAAACTTCAAAAGTTGCTGAAAATTTGCCGAGCACAATATATATACATGCGCACCTGAATATAGAAGTCATCTTTGTCATCCGTTACTTCTGCCGAAAATTTTAGGTTTAATAAAGATGTTATTTTAAACACGGAATAACTGCTTTGTCTGGTCTGGTCCAATTTGATATTCTTTATACGAATTTGCTTCAAACTCAAACAAAGAATGGGTTACCTAATATGGTTAGCCGTTCGTAGCAAAATTCAAGAACATAATATTTTCATTCAATGATTTATGTTTATATTCATCCTCAACTTCAACGCCATATACTTTCATTCAACACAAATATTCATTCAACTTCAACTCAAACTATTTTCATTCAACAAAAAAAATATCCATTCAACTTTTGTATTTAAAGTTCCCGGACATTCCTAATGTCTCTTCCACAAAAACTGCCCGTCCCCTCCCAAATTCGGTGAACGTTTGACACACCGACACAGTCTCTTGGGATGCGTAGTGAAAATGGCGTTGGACTGAAGACTGAGGCTGACTCAAACTGAGTATACGTGAACGCGCACGGAATGAAATGGCGCTACAACGATCGGGATCGGCAAGTAATGCTTCCCTTTTGTCCAGAACACGAAATCTTATTTCAAAAGCGGCCAGATCGGCGAGCAGGGAAGCGGTTGGCGCTGACCGTTCAGCAGTGGAAGCTTCATTCGAAGCCGAAGTTCCAACCCAGCATTCTGGTGTCGACATTGACCGAAGAGATACTCGAAGATACCATCATCAGTTGGGAGTGGGGCCTGTGGATCATAACCATACCATTGTAGGTTAACGTTATCATTTCTGATTGCTGACTCTGTTACATCTACAACTGCATTCAGGTCACGATTACGCTGGTCAATCATCCCTTGCTCCAGATCCTCATAGGTGTCAAATCCCTTTCTGTTCGAATTGGATGTTGATTCCAAGCTGTTGCATTAAAGCTTTCAATGGCTCTGTTTATTCTCGGGAGAAATATAAAATGTAGAACAAACAAATGCAGATCATTGTTTCTATCAAGAATACCACCTTCCTCCATAGATTGAAAGGTATAATAAAACATAGTCACAGCACGGAAAACATCTCTTCAAAGGCGTTCAATACGTTGATTTTGAGTTGAACTTCCCACGATGTTACCAGAATGCTGTGTTGGAACTTCGGCTTCGAACGAAGCTTCCATTGATGAACGGGCAGCGCCAGCCACTTCCCTGCTCGCCGATCTGGCCGCATTTGAAATAAGATTTCGTGTTCTGGACAAAAGAGAAGCATTACTTGCCGATCCCGATCGTTGTAGCGCCATTTCATTCCGTGTGCATTCAAGAATACTATTTGAGTCAGCCTCAGTCTTCGTCCGACGCCATTTAAACTACCCATCCCTAGAGACTGGGTCGGCGTGTCGAACGTTCACCGAAGGTCAGTTTTTGTTGAATAGACATTAGGAATGTCCGGGAACTTTAAATACAAAAGTTGGATGGATATTTTTTTGTTGAATGAAAATATTTTGAGTTGAAGTTGAATGATTTTTTTTGTTGTTGAATAAAAATAGTTTGAATTGAAGTTGAATAAATAGTTGTGTTGAAGAAAAATAGTTTGAGTTGAAGTTGAGTTAATATTAGTGTTAAAGAAAAATAGTTTGAGTTGAAGGTGAATGAATATTTGTGTTAAATGAAAGTATATGGCGTTGAAGTTGAATGAATATTATTTGTCGAATATAAATATAAATCATTGAATGAAAATATTATGTTCTTGAATTTTGCTACAAACGGCTAACCACATGCCAAAACCCGAGAAGACCCTGGGTACTAGATTGCGAAAGGTATCCTACTTGAGAGGGAAACGGGAAGATAAACGAGAGCGCAAGCAAACTTGTATTAATCAGAAAGGTACAATCACTGCAATGGCCACTCTTGATGATAACTGGCAGACAAAACGCCCAACTATCAGCCAGAGAACCAAATTTATTTTTAATAACGAATTATTAAGTGATGTGAAGTTTGTAGTTTTTGCCTCGCAAGACGAAAGTGAAAGCCGGAAGAGTGAGAAGTGCATGATTCCAGCTCACAAGTTTATACTTGCAATCGGCAGTCCTGTTTTCTATGCCATGTTCTACGGTGAAATGGCGGAGACCTCAGACACTATTCAATTGCCTGACTGTGATTATGAGAGTCTCTTGGAGTTGTTTCGTTTCCTGTACAGCGATGAAGTGCACTTGACCGGAAGTAATGTCATGCAAGTTCTCTACTTGGCAAAAAAATATCTCATACCTTCACTCGCCGATAAGTGCACTGAATATCTTCAGAAACATCTACAGGCGTCGAATGTGTTCTCCGTTCTGCTTCAAGCTCAGCTATTTGACGATAAAGATCTGGAAGAACGGTGCTGGGAAGTTTTAGAGACGCACACCGAGAATACTGTGACGTCGGGAGAATTTGTCACGCTTAAGAGATCTGTTGTTGAGTCTGTGGTGAAAAGGGAGAGATTGAATGTAAAGGAAGTGGATTTATTCAAAGCTGTTGATCGCTGGGCAACCAAAGAAGTGGAACGGCAAAGACTATCCCCTGCTGGCAAAGTCAAAAGAAGGATTCTTGGAGAGGAAATTGTGAAAGCAATAAGGTTTCCAGTGATGTCGCAGAAAGAGTTTGCTTCGGTTGTTGTGGATTGTGAAATTCTGACTAAAAACGAGATTGGTTTGATGATGAAACACTACGGTGGTGTCGGTTTAGAGTCTTCTTTACCATTCATGCAGTCCCCTAGACAGCCTAGAGCTGGGCCTCTGCATCGAATTTACAGATTTAGAAAAGTAAGCTCGCCCGATATGCCTGATGGTTCATGGCACTACACTCGTGGTGATTCTCAGACTGATGCCCTTAAACTGACTGTCAGTAAACCTGTCAAGTTACATGGAGTGCAGCATTTTGGCAGTGAAGATAATGAATACACAGTTTCATTAGAAGTGAAAGATGCGGCCAAGAGTTTTTCGCTGATAAAGCTGATGGACACGTATTCCTCCGAGAAAGATGAGACAAATGGTTACTATGGATTTGATGTCATGTTTGATCACCCAGTTTGCCTTGAGCAGGGTGAAACGTATGAGACTGTATCTCTTATCAAAGGCCCATCGTCTTGGAGTGTGACTAATGGAAAAAAATCTGACGAGGTTCAAGGAATCCAGTTTTCATTTATCTCTTCAGCTTCTTCTAAGAATGGAACTAATGTCAAAACTGGCCAGTTTCCTGCATTTATTTTCAGCACAATGTAGTTTAATTCTTAAATAATGATATTGCATTCGTTGATCATCGTAAGTGGTAGACTGCAAATTGCTTTATTTAGGAAAATGCCTAATCAAACAGGCCAGAGTCTCTTAAGGAGATAACTGTTTTCTCTACCAATGCCTCATTAATTTCCAGACTACGACCTGTCAGGACCTGTGGTTAGGCTGAAGGCTAGCGATGACTGGAATGATTTGCCGAGCCAAACGAAAATCACGGGACGAAATAACGGATTTACCGAGCGTCAAAGGCGCAGTCCAACGCGCGATAAAGACGACTGTTGCACGCCATTGACGGGCGACAAAAAACTATCTTTGATGACGTCTTCAGGCGAGTCTTCCGGCGATGAAGGCCGTTTTTTTTTACGCCTTTAACCTTTACCTTTGGCGCAAGTGAAAGATGTTATTTTTTTAGCCTTTGTACCCCTATCAAAGGTGTCGTCTGAGATTCGAGTCTAAGGTTTCAAAAAGGTGCGGTAAAGTAATGTCTGAGATTGAAGTCAAAGGCTTGCTAAAAGTGTCGCCAAATGGCTAAGGGCACGGTGTTGGAGATCACAGCCGTAACAAAATAGATCAAATTTTGTCATCGTGCATCTTGAAGCCGATAATCGCGCATCGAGCCAAAATCCATTGAAGGTGCATAGATTGTAGCTTTATCTTGCATTTTTCGAGCCTTGACGTATCGTTGCCTTAATTGAGCGTCAGGTCGTACCTTTGTATGTCGAGCCCATTGATAATCGTGCTTTCATGGAGCTTTTATCATGCGCAAAAAGCTAGCGCAGCAAAAAGTTGAGCAAATCTCCCCTATTGCAAGTCAAAAATGCCCCGGGAAAACATACAAATATAAAAATTACGTAGAAGTCCTTTGAGAAAATACTCAGTTGTCGCTTTGAGGGAAAGTGAAAAGATCAAGCGACAAACTTCATGAAACTTGCGTTGGAGGACTTCATCCTTGCTTTCTTCGAGACGGAGATCTCAGTAGAATAACCGAGTGAGTGCATTAAGCCCCGTACATTTTGTACATTGTAGTAGAGAAAATTATGTTTTAAGAGGAAAAATGTATCAATTACAATTAAGTTAGTGACTTTTCAGTCGAGTTGATGTTAAATTCAAGCTAATAAAATTAAATAGATGTAGCCAGGGCTCACGATAATGTTTATAGTTCGCTCTAACAAAATATCAAATCATGTAATGCTAAGCGCAGCGAAGGCAACGAGAAAAACAACAATGGGTCAAATTAGCAAAAAAGCAACTTAACACGTGGAGCACACTTTTTTTTGTACATTTATTTGCCCTTGTTTTGCACGACTACAACGTGAAACTTTCAGAAACTTCCTAGTTACACGTTTTATGGAGGAAATGTCGAACGTGTTCTACTGCCGCTCATTTTCACCTTGATGACCGCTAGCATTTCTCATTTTCTCACCACCGCTTCAAATATTCTTGTTATTCTTCCAACAGAAAATGTCTCCTTTGTTATTTTTCTCTCGCTCTAGCTCACTGCCGCTCTTTTTCTCGTTGAGCTTCGCTGGCCTGTCGCCCACAAATTTGTGGATATGACAATTAATCTAAGCCTAATACCTTAGACAACGGGGATACAGAAGCAATTTCCGGTTTCCGTTTTCGTCTTTATTGACTCTTATATAGTTGTCTCTGCTTCACAAGACGCGGGTGGCTATGCGATTTCCCGCCAAAATAATCTCGAGTTGCATTTGCTTTGCCAGTTGCCATACCTGTTCATTGAGTTCTTTTACGTTGGTATGCCCGTGGTGCGGACGGACGGGCGTACGGCCACGTGATTACCAAAATTTCTCGGATGGGTAGATCACCATATTTTCTTAGGTATTGGGCTACGCTCACGCGCGCTCCGCGCGAGCGTTGAGCTCCGCTATATCTTAGGAAATGCGCTCAGATTCAAGACAGCTTTGTATTGTATAAGTAGCTTTGGGCTTATTTAAGTTGAGTGTACGGACAAATGAGGCACAAATTGTAGTGCGAACTTCATTTCATAAGTAAAGAAACATTTGGGTTCTCAAATAAATTTTTCAAAAAATGAGTTCTCTGTCTACAGTAGTTCAAAGCACGATCGTAAGACACAGAGCATCTAAATTGCTCACGCATTGCTTCATGGCCGACAATTTTGACTTTCAGCTACATTTCTTTGGACAATCTTCGATACGAAGCTAGTTAATTTCTTTTTAGAATT